TATTTGATCAGCAATGAATTCAAAGCTTTATAAAATCGTTTAAAGCAACGCGATACTTACTATCTGAGTGCACATTCAGGTACTTAAGAAGATAGCCAATGGCGATTATATTGCCAAGGTGTGCGTAGAGGGTTGCTGAATCTTAGAACTGCTTCGAATGAATCGTTTGAGAATCATTGGAAAATTAGGTGATACTAAATGCATATTTTGAGAAAACAAAGCATTGTTTGACCTCGCGTGTATGTAAACCTATTGTAGGAGACTCCCAAAACCATATTAGGAACCTTAAAAATGGCATAATAGGGGCACTTTAAACTACAAAAGGCTATGATTTATTAAATCTGCACTTTTCTAAGTAAAAGCACAGAACTGTTGTGTGTTCTACAGGCTCACGGTTACAGAACAGTTTGCAATCAATGAATACCGCACATTAATGCGGAAACAACTGAATGGATTCGCATTATCATTCAGGCCGTCTGCTGTTTTTGTTCAGATCAACGTGAAAATGACCAATTTCTAATTATATATATATTTGAAATGAATATATAGTAAATTATGATTTTGACTCATCCCTTTTACTAAAAATGGTTTCAATGTGAGGTTTGTTATCCTTTATAATCGTTTGACTGACATGTCAGTTGTTATAATGTCATGTACAGTAGAGGAGATGAACTCTAGATGATATGAATGATGCACAATTCATCGCAGAGCCCTGCCGCAAATTCAGCCAAGGGGCTTTAATAAACAAAGTGATAGCGTGTATGACACTATTTGATCAGGAATGAATTCAAAGCTTTATAAAATCGTTTAAAGCAACGCGATACTTACTATCTGATGCCATGTTCGCGTTGCACTGAACTAGCGGCGTCAATCACCCGCCCTATCGATCAATATCTATCGATATCTTCATAAGTAAAGCACCAGGGAATCAAAGAGTCTTGGCGACCGGTCCTACTGTACGTATCAGCCCGTCTGTCCCCGACAAACCTGCAGGAAACGGCGGAGAAGCCCACCGGGACACGCTGCTTTCACGGGCGAGAACGCATACGGGCACGCGGGCATCTGGACGAGAGCGCGCTGCGCGCCCCGCTACGCTCTGCAGCAGTGACCTCTCGATTAGACCCTTCATCAGCTCAACTACCGTACTGGCCCGAATATAAGACCACCCCCCTTTTTCCAGATGCACCTTTTGGAAAAAGGCTTTTTAAAAACCAAATCTATTTTTTTCTCAGTAAAGCACATTTTGACTTCAATTGTTTTCATATAGCATATTTTTCCTACTTTCATTTTTGTTTTGAAAGTATGTTAAAAACTGGTCAAATGTACCAACAATCACATTTAAAAAAATATACACTTTTTGATATACCATAAAAAAAAATAAAAAACAAAAAAACAGGTAGCCCATCTGAATTAGGACATTTAGGCCATCCATCTAATAGTAGCCTACCAAAATCTTATAAACAGTAGAAGTTAAATCTTACTGTAGTCTTCAAATCTGGGTACTGTCTTACGTTTTAAAATCACAAAGGGAGTTTGGTCCCATCAGGTTAACGTGACAGTCACGACTCGTGCAGCTGTAAGCTTTTCTTTTTCTTTTGATTTTACTCGCGATCTTTACAACATGCATTATATTACGTATTTCATGGCACACTCGTTTTAATGCGTATTTGGCGCTACCTATTGTTGTGGGTGTATTATTGACATGTCAAAGTCTAGACCCTGAATATAAGACGACCGCGTTTTTTTATTTCCAAGAAAAAAGCATCGTTTTATATTTGGGTCAATACATACGGGTATATACCATGTATGTTTTTACCATGTGCTGTAACCTTTTCCCAGATGGACTTTCAAATCTTAAAGTTATATATTAAAAAAATATAAAATATTATTAAATATATTATTAAATGTGACTACATTGTAAGACTATGATTATCCAGACAAATAGTAAAATAATTTCATATAGCGTAAAAATGACAACGACCAACAATTGTGCCACTGAGTTTCATCAAATATTAGTGTACTTATTTACCAAGGAGACAACAGTGACAGCGAAGACCATGCAATATGAAACATAAAAAAAAAAAATAATAAAAAATTCTAATTAAGCGGTTTTATTACGCAAAAACTGAAAATATAATTTAATTGTGGGTATTTACGATACATAAAATACTAGCTATAAACATTAGAAAATTAGTCAATAAAGAGTGTTTAAGATAATTCTTTAAGAGTGTTTACACAAAGCAACACTGAATAGTTTAAGATTTACTGAAAATCTACTCTCAGATCATGCAAAGCAGTTAGTTGCTAAAAATATGTATCAAATTTTTTATAAGCATTATTACATTGTAAGCATAATTTTCAATCCACAGGAACAGAATAAGTTGAAAACACTATATATATCCACAAATTCAGCAAACAGCAACTCTGACCCTACACTGCTTACGTGTCTCATGTTCCCAGCATGCATAGAGAGAAATAAATCTAATCTTTATGTGCAATCAGTCACTATGATTTGGATTGATTGAATTCAGCTTAAAAGCTACAGCCTATTAGGTGCAAACTACATCAATCTTGACTGTGCTGCAGATCTAAATGATCAGGCTCCTCAGACTCCTCACTTTGGCTGAGGCACGAGTGAGCGAGGGAGAGAAATGCTAGGATTGGAAGTGATAAAAGATATTGATTAAAATCAAACAGCCGAATGAGTACATCAATAAACCCTTCAGGTTAGAAAGAACTGGACCACATGCATATAAAAGACCACACAACTCTCTTTTCTCAGTGAGTGTGAGATTATTGTATTAGCTGGCACAAATACAACAGAAAGAAAATGGACTGATATAAAGACAAAAGAAAAAACAGGGAACGCCGAACATTCTGAATTATAAAATTGTTAACATAATTTAAAACGACAAAATATACTTAAAACTATTCATTTTAAATAGCTGCTTAATAACATGTTAATGTAAAAACGATCAAAGATCAGTAAACAAATAGCTTTTTTATATAAACAATTATTGTCTAAATTTGATATCTAGCACATATATTCGGCCAATTATTAAAATACAAAAACAAATAAGAAAGAGCTGTTTTAAAAACATGTCACTTATGATGAATAAAAGCAACCTACATTCACTGCTCTTTTAACCCAAAAGCAGCCAAATGGACTGATATAAAGACAAAAGAAAAAACAGGGAACGCCGAACATTCTGAATTATAAAATTGTTAACATCATTTAAAACGACAAAATATACTTAAAACTATTCATTTTAAATAGCTGCTTAATAACATGTTAATGTAAAAACGATCAAAGATCAGTAAACAAATAGCTTTTTTATATAAACAATTATTGTCTAAATTTGATATCTAGCACATATATTCGGATGCCAATTATTAAAATACAAAAACAAATAAGAAAGAGCTGTTTTAAAAACACTTATGATGAATAAAAGCAACCTACATTCACTGCTCTTTTAACCCAAAAGCAGCAAAGTTTAAAATGACATAAAACAAATCAAATGTAACTGAAGTTCAAGGCACAGATCAAGACACTTCATCCAGATGGTGCTGCTTAAGTGGGATCGCTGGTCTTGTCAGGGTTCCCGTTGAATTTCTTCTTCTTTTTCTCAAGGGAATTAAAACGAAAAGTCAAAAAGTGAAGTTCTTGCATCAAACAGGCACTTTTTTCATTATTAGTTAGCATGATCTATTGACCCCAGGGTATCTGCAGGGTTTTTAAAATCCAATTTAAGGCTTCTAAAGACCTGCACATATAAAATGAATGCCATATGGGTAAAATGACTAAAAATGATTTAAGCAGCTTCACATTTCAAATAATACTGGTTTTGACAAAAACAAAAAGTTATAAAATAATAAACCTCACATTGAAACCATTTTTAGTAAAAGGGATGAGTCAAAATCATAATTTACTATATTTATATTCATTTCAAATATATATAATTAGAAATTGGTCATTTTCACGTTGATCTGAACAAAAACAGCAGACGGCCTGAATGATAATGCAAATCCATTCAGTTGTTTCCGCATTAATGTGCGGTATTCATTGATTGCAAACTGTTCTGTAACCGTGAGCCTGTAGAACACACAACAGTTCTGTGCTTTTACTTAGAAAAGTGCACATTTAATAAATCATAGCCTTTTGAAGTTTAAAGTGCCCCTATTATGCCATTTTTAAGGTTCCTAATAGGGTTTTGGGAGTCTCCTACAATAGGTTTACATACACGCAAGGTCAAACAATGCTTTGTTTTCTCAAAATATGCATTTAATATCATCACCTAATTTTCCAATGATTCTCAAACGATTCATTCGAAGCAGTTCTAAGATTCAGTCTCCCTCCTTTCTGTGCGCCTACTCTGCTCTGATTGGCCAGATAGCCCAGTCTGTTGTGATTGGTCTACCGCGTACAGAGTGTGTCGGAAACAATACACCCATTGCTGTAGTTCTGTATTTTGAACGCTCAATAGAAAATACAATCTAAAATACATTCTACATCTAGTATTTTTCGTTGTGATTCAGTGGAGTCAGCTGGTCCAAATAAACTGGGTACTGAGCCATCTTTCAAGAGCAAGCGTTTTGTGAATTCCGCATTGAACTCCCTGAGATTAGAGAAGCAGTCATCAGTACAATTACGTGTTTGAGGGCGGGCCAAGTTCTTTGCGGCCGGCCAACGTAAAACATAGGTGTGCATCATGCAAACAATGTTACTCTGTGACCTGTAGCCATCACAGAAGTGGGATTTGAATTACTAATGACTCGTTTACATTGTTCATGGTCGAGTCTTTCTTTTGGGTGACAGTAACTTTATTTATCATGCGCTTTCGGCTTTACAACTTTGCAAATAATTTGCAGTTACATACAGCTACATTACACGCTGCATGAAAGGCAATATTCGAAATGGCATAATAGGGGCACTTTAATAATCACATTAAGCCACATTTATCACATTAATCAACATGGCGTAATCCCATCTGTTTGCTTACCTGGTTCCTTCTCTTCTTTCACTGCACTCAAACATCACAGCCGGGTCAAATTTGAGCCCTCACTCTCATTTCCTATCATATAGAACTAGCGATAATCAATCAACACAAACCAAACTGTAACTACGTGAGTTTATCTGGGTGGGCAGGACTTACCCTGAGTTTTGAAGCATAATTGAGTGCGCATTTTAAGTGATGGGTATCATTTCTTTTTTGATGACACCTTTAGTGAAATGTCTGGTCCAGCTGCTGGGACCAACTCTGTCTGTCTGTGATGTCGGGACCTTTTTATACAGTCTATGGTCGGGACTTGGAAGCCTAACAGGGAAATGATGAAAAACTTCATTCAACTTCGTCTTATGCGGCTTATGCTTAATAGCCTATCTACATGCAAAGGCCTTGTAAAGTGTTTATTTTATGTGCTCATGTTATTATGAACAATTTTAACAAACAATCTGACCAGTCTCTTGTGCGGCCTATTTTTACCTCTATAACTTGTCCATATGATTTGGATTTGATCAACGCTAACAGCTGAGCCCTGCTGGACCTCTTTGGGTGGCAAAAAAAAGAACACAGTGAATGACACACCCCTCTCGAAAAACAAAAGTACTGCCACATCACAAGATTGCTACACTGCTGTAGTAAAGAATAAAGCACTATGCAGTATTAAAGAGACAGATGTGAATATTAATTTTAACTTAATCTCTTACTTCTTGATTTGAAGGTCCCTCTCCAGCACCCTGCTGCTCAGATGTCTGAAAAAACAAACAAGCAAAACATATATAGTGCTTTAGACACACACACAGTTACAAAACACACATACACATTCTATAAACACATTCAGAAATAAGTTCAGGATTAAGTGCCATCATTTATGTAGTAGTTGTGCACTACTGTTCCAAAGTTTGGGTCACTAAGATTTGTTTTAATTTTTGGAAATCTTAAGTATTTATTAAACTCACCAAGATGTAAACGTAAATGTAAAATATTTTATTTAAGATTTAAGTTAACTTTTTTCTTTCTTTTTCTAAATTAATATGTAAAATGTAATCTATTCCTGTGATGGCAAAGCTGAATTTTCAGCAGTCATTACTCCAGTCTTCAGTGTCACATGATCCTTCAGAAATCAATCCAAAATGCTGATACATTTCTTAAAAATATTAATGTTGAAAACAGTTTGATGAATAGAAAGTTGAAAAGGACAGCATTTATTTGAAACAGAAATCTTTTGTTATATTATAAATGTCTTTACTGTCATTGGTTTTGATTAGGTTAATGCATTCTTACTGTTTTGATTAGGTTAATGCATTCTTACTGAATAAAAGTATTAATTTCTTTTAAAAACAAACAACAATTAGTTCCTCAACAACAAACAATAATGAAACATAGATTCATAAGCACAAATACTTACGGCATGATTCATCTGCCAGTTGGAATAAGCGAAGACGGCACTGTTTAGTTTGGGAACCAGGTTTTGTTGTACAATATTCAGATTTGGGTCTGGTTCAGTGAAAATGGCTTTCTTCAGACCCTCATAATGTTCATGGATAATTGCAATTTCCTATGGTCCAGAAAAATACAAATGGACTTCTTAACCAACAGTCTTCCCATTTGCAAGCAACTCCTAATCACACTTTTAATTGTCAAATAAAACTGATTTGCATTTAAAAACTCTCAAAAAAATAACAAATTAAATGCAGTTTCTACAGGCAGACTTATAGTGAAAATGTAATTATTTTGTTATAGCCATAATTCATTAAGATGAATATTTAAGTCATGTCTTTGACTGATCAGTGACATGACCAACACAGTGACACTCAGTGTTAAACCTGGCTCATGTTTAGCACTGAGTTTAAAAGTTATAGAGCAGTTATAAAAGGCTTTCACGCATTCAGAAATGTATCTAAACAAGCAAAAACAAATGCTGGAGGAGATATATTATTATACAAAATGAAATTCTTGAAGCTGTTATGTTGCCATGGTGACTCGCCTCTAGTACATCTGTGGAGACCAGTTCCTGAGGACGTGATGGTGGATCAACAAACTCTTCACAGATTTTCCTCCTCCTTCCTAAAACATCTTTATCCTAAAACAGAGCTGTGCAAATATGTACAATGCATACCTTTGGCCAGAGTTCAGAATGTCAGGTTAAATCAGTTTGTTTACATCAGTATGGACACACACAGCACAGAAAAAAGACTGCTGAACAATGTCAACATGTAATACCGTTCATCATTCTTCACCTATATGACATATCCTAGTGAAACAGGATATTCACTGTAGCTGAATATCCCTTTGACTTTATCCACACTAAACTAAAAGTGATTGAAGTGTCAAAGTGATTGAAGAGGATTTTATAATAAAATGTAAATAATTAAAATAAATAAAATTACATATATA